ATGGTACCTATTGAGTGTTATTTTAAATAATTCTACAATCAAGTGCTCTAAATCTCTTAATTTCCAAGATGCATAATGTTTAAGAGTATAAAATCATTTGAAAGTTTTTCACAATTTCATGTATTTTGTAATTGTAATTGTAAACATAGGTAACAAGATAGTAACAATATGATTTTAACAATTTTCTAATTTTTTGGTTGTAACTTTCCTAAAATTTTCTGAATCAACTTATTATGAATAGTCAATCAAGTTGTACAAAAAGTTTACACACAAAGAAGAAACAAATTAAAACATTTGGATACGTCTCATCCAGTTCTGACGAACCAAGGCAAATGCTCCTCGATGACTGCAAGCAGTCATAAATTATTAGCAACAATTTAATACGTTCACGTAAATCATCCTCCATCTCAGTACAATACAAATCATTTTTTAAATGTTCCCTAAAAAAAGTCTATAGGGTTTAAGTCAGGAGACCACGGTGGCCAAACTAAAGATCTTCTTTGTTCAATCCACTGTACTTTTTAAACTTCACTAAAATAAACTAGAACATTTTGCTGAAAATAAATCTGCGCATCATCGCACAAGATAAAACCATCCAATATAAACAGTCCAAATATGCGACCTTATCTACCCCTAGGCTCGCCGTAGTCAACAGTTCATAGGTTATGGAGGTTCAATATAGGTATGATGATTTAGTTGATAATCCATGACCTGATACGATTTCTTTTAGGGAAGATTATTCCGAAAATCACTTTAGGGATTTCTTACTAAAAATCTGGTTATGTAGCTTTATAGCCTTCATCAACATCACTTAAACTCAGTATATCAAATTTCGTCCATATACAGAGTACCCGTTTTTCGAACCGCAATATTGGGATCTCGATTATCTTCAGAAATACAAAGTCGGCCCATTAGGATAAAGTTGCGAAATTTTATTTACTAATGACAAATGACCCCGCAGGTTCCTTATGGAAAATGGCTTCCAGTCGATAGTTCTGAAAATTTGGATTTGAATAGTTCTCGAAGCTTAGATAAAAAGTTGTCATAGGCTTTAAGCTGAGAAAATTATATTTTTCGAAATATAGTCGCCGAAAGGTAGGAGTTGTAGTACCGAGACGTATAAATTGAAGAAAACTCATTGTAAGGTCAAATGAAGAGAAGCCGTGAAATCTGTCCAAAACACATATTTCTTAGATTGTCGGGGTTACTGAATCCAAATCAGCCATCCTTTCGAGTATACAGATGCTATACAGGGTATACAGTATACAGAAGGCGCTTAGGGAAAATGATGATGAATTTCAATTGGATGAACATATAAATGAACCAGGACTTTTAAGAGTACGAATTTTCTCAAGATTCCGAAATTCTGCAAGACATCAAATATTCATTAGCTATGTCAACGTGGATCAAGACTTAGATAATTATGGTGGTGATCAAGATAATGATCCAATCCTAGCATATTACTGCACGTGTTACTCAGGGGCGAGAGTAGTAGGGACTTGTGCTCATGTGGCCAGTGTTTTTTGGTTTTTAGGCTATGCCCGCCATCAACCACATGTGAAGTACCCAGATGATTCGCTATTAAATACTACAATGATTGCAAATAATTAATTGATAATTGAATTACTTAATTATAATTTATGCTATACCTTTTTTTTCAGACAATATTATTTCTTATTTGAATATGATTCAATATGTATTCGTTACGATGAATAGTAAAGTCAAAAACATATGTATTCATCAACGATGTTTGATAGGTGTGTAGTACAACATTAATAAAGAATGTACTTTAGTTAAAAAAGTTTTTACTTATCGATTTTTTAACCTACCCAATTAATTAGTAAATTCCAGAACCAGGTTGGCCGTGGAACATCTTACAACCTGTTATCCTCTTAAGACTGTTTACTTTGCAAATGCGCAATACAATATAATAAAAAATATTCTAAAGCTGTAATAAAATATTACTTAATATTTTTATAATATGATTACATATGTTTGGGACATGTTACATTTACAATGATCTTACAATGACCTTCATTTGATCTTGATGTGACCTTGAAACTCATCCGCACAGCCGAATGGAGGACAGATTCGGATTGAGTGACCCCGATAACGTAAGGAACATGTGTTTGGGACAGATTGCACGGCTTCTTTTTATTTGACCTTACAAGTTAAGAGTTTGATTTATACCTCGCGGTACTATAACTCCTAGCTTTCATCGACTATATCTCGGAAAATATAGTTTTCTCAGCTTAGTGCCTATAATAACTTTTTATCTACGCTTCGAGAACTATTCAAATCCATAGTTTCAAAACTATCGGCTGAAAATCATTTTCCATAAGGAACATGCGGGGTCCAAATTTGACTTTCGTTTTAACATCATGGAAAAAAAAATAGTTTTTCTTTTTATTTAATTTTGAATCGAAAATGGAAAGAGACGGACTTTTTAAACTAAAATTGTGATTGGATTTTGCGGTCTAGAATTCAGCGCATTTTTCTGATTTCGATGATGTGTCACATGATACGGTTTGCCTTCTTGGCAATTTGAAACTATTACTTTGAACAAAATGTTCACCGTATTATTCAGCTGATAATATGTTTCAAGCATATCTCACTCTTCTTTATATAAAAAATGATTTTTTATTAAAAACTTTCACACCGTCAATGAAAATTTAACTGCACTGTCAAAATTTCATTTGAAGTAATAGATATTTTGTTTTCAACGCACTCTTTGTAAAAATAAATAGTTTGCTTGCTGCAATTAATAATGCGACAATATTTTTGAGTTCTCCACAAAAAGCATCATATGAATATAAAAAAAATTTGTTGGTAACTTCAAAACGAAAATCATAAATCCATTTTCTCTTTGGCAAGTTATTTATTATTAAATTCGACGAGCTCTGTATCTCTTAAGATAACCGTGATCAAAATAGTAGGCACCCTATATAATACGAAATGCCAATTATAATCAGCAATATCAGTAATTAACTTAATGTTCAATACAATGTCCCTTAAGATCAGATTCAGGTAAACAGAAATAAAAAATGCTTCAAATCTATATAAAAAATGTATCTACTGTATAAATTGATGAATTTTGAGATGCAAAAGTTTCAAGTATTGCTAATTATATCTACATAGCCAGATTAATCAATGTCTTAATTAACAAACAGCACATACAATATAATTATTTATTTTTGAATACATTTCTTTGCATTCAGAAAATTATAAGATAACGAACATTTTTTTATACCGTATTTACATGGAACCACACAGAGATTCTAAAAATGTAACTGTATCTGGTTATATAGGTTAAGTAATATTCTCTCAACAATATAGCAATAAATACCTGTTTTTTATAACAGATATTTATTGAAAAAGGATACATTAGATATTTACGTTTTTCCGTACTAGATTTTTGAGATACTAATTGTTTCTTTGAATCGGAACCATTTTAATTGGATGTAACGAGCGTTCAAATAAAAACGTGGTCAAAGTTGGCTCTGACACATTGGACGTAGGGAGTAGCTTATAGCGACCAACTTAACCTCATTTCTCAACGAGCTGTATAGCAGCTGTCAGTTTCAATAACGTTAATGACTATATAACTTTATTTTAAAGAATAATCGTGATAACAATAACAAACAATTAAAGGAGCTGCGGAAAGTGTCCCCCTCCTTGTTATAACAATAAATTAAAGCAGCTGCTGAAAGTGTCCCCCTCCTTGTTCCAAGCACTTTTCACACCTGTTCCTCAAAGAATTAAAGACATTTTCTAAGATGCTCGGGGTATTGTTAATTTCACGAATCTTGTCTATAAGTCGAGCCTGCAGATGGTTTAAATCAGGAATAGGCAGTTCAAAAATAGTGTTTTTAAGGTAAGGCCACAAAAAGAAATCACACGGCGTAATATCACATGACCTCGGTGGAAATTCATGTTCAGCATTGAGACTTATTAGTCGATTTTGGAAAACTTCCCTCAACATATTCATCGTCTCGCCTGCCGTATGTGCCCTTGCGCCATCTTGTTGAAAGTAAAAGTTTGTAATTTCGTTTTCTTCCAGCTGGTTAACAAAAGGAGCGATAATTTCTTCTCTATACCTTTGCGCAGTAAGAGTACCATTAAAAAAAATAGGTCCATAAATCCTCCTTCGATTGAGAGCACACCAAACTCCAATTTTTTGAGCGTGTAGAGGGCCCTCGACAAAAAAGTTATCTGGTTTTTCAGAAGACCACATTCTCATATTCTGTGAGTTTACGTAACCACTTAAATGAAACCAGGCTTCATCAGAAAAAAAGGTGATATTATGAAGTTCACCGTAGTTGTTTAAAAACCATTCACAAAATACAGCCCGTCGCGGAAAATCAACTTCATGAAGTTCTTGCTGACAAGTTAAACGATAGGAGAACAAACGCAAATCTTTTTTTAACACTGTGTGGCAGGTACCGACTGATACTCCCACCATTTGTGATAAAACACGTACAGAAGTTCTTGGCGCATTTTCCATTATTTGTTGGACATTTTCTTTTAATTCTTCAGTCCGCTTTTTAGGTCGGCCGCTTCCTTCTTTTCTTGTTACACTGCCCGTTTCACGAAAAACATTAACACAACGCTGAACTGCACTTTGAAAAATTTTGTACTCAACAACGCCGGGAAATTGATTTTGAAATTCTATGAAACATTCCTCAATAGAATACTTCCATATTCCATCAATCTTGCGTCCATTTCTAAAGTAGGACTCTATGATAAACACTTTTTGTTCTTGAGAAAACACCATTTTAAACGCTTTTTAAAACGAAAATATTCAAATTGATAGCGGCGATATAGCGCTTTGACAGATGACGTTTAAGTTCATTTGCTATACGCTACGCCCTACGTCCAAATTTTCAGAACCAACTTGACCACGTTTTTATTTGAACGCTCGTTAATATTGAATTTAACAGAAAATTCTACACAGCAAACACCTCCTACACTAAATCTTACAATTAATTTAAAAAACTTACTATAAAATTACTGCCCACAGGGAAATTCAGATACCTCCTCCGCCTAGATAGTAAAACATTTCCTTTGGAAACCTTAGTAAAATTAGCCTCCACAAAATGCAAAGCTAAGGAAATCGTTAGAAGTTTCCATATAGAAACCATAACACGATACAGATTCGTGCAACTAAACAATAACTCACCCGTCAGAATAAACATAAAGATTCGATAATTGTTTCACCAAATACAGGACGTCATTTAATATATGCGTACAAAGACATCACATGTTTGTTTTATTTTTTACATGTGCATCACGTGGCGGTTGCTACAGATTTTCTGTACGAGGAGAATATGATAATTTGTCAATAAAAGATGTCTACATAAGGAATAAAATTATCTATTCAAATTAAACTTAATTTTAGAAAACGGTATCCCTTTATGAACTGAATTCGATTATCCTTAGCAGGATGCCGTGGCTTCTGCTGAAAGTCTCAACATTGTTTTACTATTAAAATTATCTGTTTCACTTCACAAAGCCATTTTTAAAATTTTTATTTTTAAAAATGTCTAAAATTTTTATATCTTGAAATAATTCATGTGATGAAAATATAGCCACTTTCCATATCTTTTGCTAACGATATTATGTGAAACAACTAGGTACTCTGCGGACTACAGCCACATACAGCTAAATTACTCCCGCAATATCTAGTGAACAGCTAAAATCATTCGTCATCTGAATCATCAAACATAAGCCGGTTTCGAACATGTTAGTTCTCCTCAGATTGACATATCTTTGTGCTAGTAGACAATGAATACTAGTAGCAATTAATATATGGCTTACTTTGTATGTTATGTCTCACCCACATACCCTGATTTCTCAGTAAATAAGGTATAATCCTGGAAAACCAGGCTGACTTGCTAAAATATCTAATAGATAATAATTTATTATTTATTAAGTAAAATTATAACGTCATACTCAGGTAATTTGAACAAATTATTAGCAACAAATTTATAATCGCTCCTCATGACTACCAAACATGTGACGTCACTGTATCAATGATGACATTAAATCTGGTAGATAAACATAAAAAAATGTTTTCATTATTGAAGTCAAACATTTATGATTCTTTCGTCAGTTTTTACAAAAGCAGCATCAACAGAAGTGCCATTACTATCCGCTATTTGTTAGTTAACTGAAAGTATCATATTTTTAATTTTAACAAACATGTCTTCTTGAAAAAGTACTGTTAACAGTAGCTGTTATACATAAAAAGATATTTTTTTAAAGATCGTCCTTTTAGATTAGTAATTTTAGACTGTATAAATGAAAAAGTATTTCCATAAGAAATTATAAAAAACAACTATATTATACAGCGTTCCGAAAATAAGTCCAAAAAATTTTAAAGTTGATGCCAGTCATAAAACAAAAATCAATCATCAAAATTTTAAAACCTAAAAGGGTTTAAATTTTGCGCTTATTGTCTAGAAGAAAATTAATCATAACTTTTTATATACAGTTAGTAAAAAAAATAATAACAAAGGTTACACAGGCCGACAAATTTGTTTTTTATTTTAGAGCCGTAATCCTACTTATCATTAATAAGATTTTCTGCTGAATCCGAAAATGATAAAAGAAATATCTGACATGTGGATTAACTCCCACACCCCCTCAATTTACCCCAAAAATTCAAAAAATCCAAACTAACCATCCAACCTACCTATCTTTAGTAAAATTGGGAGGAATTCACAAGTCAGAATTTTTTTTATCATTTTTGAATTCAGCGGAAAATTTTACTAGGGTCACGTCTCAAAAAACAAGTAATTTTTTTGTCGTCCTATGTTATTAACAAAATCTTACAAATCTTGTTACAAATCGTTTATCAATCGTTTCTTAGGACTATATAGAATGTCTCAGTTTTAATCTATGAGACTTCGTACAACGAAAAATAATGGCCATATGTCTCAATTGTCTCAACCGTTTTCGAGATACAGGGTGTTAATAATTTAAAAAAATAAGTATTTACTCTAAATATCTTCTGAAATAATAGAGGTATTTGGACTAAATTTGGTACGTTATATTGGGCCAAGTTTCCATATAATGCTGTAATATCAAGACTTTTACAACCAATGGCGGAGATATGGGCAACTCATTCGACTATATTTTATAAAAAAAATATAGTACGGTTTTGTGTAAACTAATAATTGATTATATTTTCTGAAATAGCATGCCAATGGGAACAAAAAAATCTCTTACATTTTTCGAGATAACTGTCTCTGTTTTACGGTAAATTGGATTTCTCTTTTTCTTTTCAAATTAGCCAGATATTGTGAACTAATGGATTTTTGAAATTCCTATTAGAAATATTTCGGTTAGTTTCAACTAATTAATAAAAAAACAAAGTAGCATATTATTATTTGATTGTTAACAGAACTTTAAGAGAATCCAAGTAAAAGTCAACTTATTAGGCTTTCTTGAATTTCTTGAGCAAGATTTTTATTTGAGCCAAAGGCTTGAGGAGGTATATGTGGTTGCAATTGGGGCTCCTGATCATTCTGGTTAAATGTCAACTACCCTAACAGATGGATTGACAAACAGGGCCCTATTCCATGGGCAGCGAGAGCACTAGATCTTACCCCCCTGGACCTCTCCATATGGAGCATAATTAAAGTTATTAATACGTCGCATAAGAGCTACATATTATTATGACCATTTAAAAGAAGACATGGTTCATCTCCAGTACATACAATTAAATATTTTAACACCCTAGAGGGCATGTATTGATCTCCAGTACATACAATTAAATATTTTAACACCCTAGAGGGCATGTATTGAGGCAAATAGTGACCATTTTGAACACCTATTATGAAATGTACTTAATGCTCTTAGCAGCAGCAATAATCATTTATTAATTATTCGCGCAAAAAAATAAGTGGCGGTAAACATTGTTTGAGAAAATCATTCTCTCGATGTTGTAATAATCAAATAATAATATTATTGTTTCGAAGGATGCTACTATATTTTTTATATAAATTAGTGGAAACTAACCGAAATACCTCTAATAGGAATTTTAAAAACCCATTAGCGCACAGTATCTGGCTAATTTGAAAGGAAAAAGAAAAATCCAATTTGCTGTAAAATAGAGACAGATATCAACAAAATGTAAAAGGTATTTTTTGTTTCTATTGGTACCTATGCTTTTTCAGAAAATATAATCAATTCTTATTTTACACAGGATTATTTTTTTTATATAAATAATTAATAATAATAATTAATTAATAGTCCAATGATAACGTTGCAATTAAATCTCCAATTATTTGATTATTTTTTACAAATAAACTGTCCATTAATCCTTTAGAAATAATAAGTATATCAGTCTATAAAAAATAATACCCTTGTGTCACAGGTTATGGTCGTGGCGCATCCACCAAAATATCGAATCTGAAATAATAAATTTAAATAATTAATTTACAACATTTACATCATAGAAAAGTTATGAATATTCTTTAAAATGATAATATGCTATCTTAGTTATATTAGCAAAATAATATTTTCCTATTTCGGTGTAAAATTGCTCTGGCCTGCGAGCGTTAATAAAACTGAACCTCCAGCAATCATGAAGTTTCCCGCATTTCGAAGCTTTTCAAAATGAAGTCGAGAAACGGTACTTCACACTCTGTCCAGCTGTCTCTGTCACAATGTCCCTGATAGTTTTCATCGTAATCAGGTTCTGAAGACCTATGGAATTTAATATAAAATATATTAATATAAGTTAAGTATCATTTTGAACAACGTACGTGAATATAGCTAACAGGAGGTCCTTTACCAAGGATTTCCCTTTTGTTGGAATAAACTGTTGAGCATCGCAAATAATCCTTCTTACACAAGCGGTACCGTTAAGACCACTTCTAAAAAGATATTAGAACAGCGTTATCTAAAATTGATTATTTATATTATTTATAGCATTAATAGATTATTCTTGCCTTTAGATTATAACCTAATGCAGAAATACGTTAATTAATGTATCGTGGCTGAATTTCGTGCTAAGGTGTGTCCAAAATAGGCTTTACGCATAAATCTAGACTAGATTGTTTCTTTAGGTTATTTAATTATTTCACAAAGTCGGGTATTTGTTTTTTCGTGGTGCTTTTAATTCGATATATTAGATTATTAATTTTAGGTAATTTTTAACATCTAACTTATCGTTACATGCCTAGATATTTGGTATAAAGGTGTACTTTTACATATACAGGGGGTTTCACAACGTTTCACATACCGTATATGGTTTATAGGAAGAAAAATTAATTTCCACAAATGATCCAAAATAAAGTTCAGTGAAAATTCAAAAATCCACAAATTTTGACTTCCGCCAATACAGTATATACAATTCGCCATGAAACACCCTGTACAACTTCGTTTGACATGAAATAAAAAGAAATAGTATCAATTTAAAAAACCCTAATATATTTAAAGCAGACATCATTTAAAATTCTAAGGATATCTGATGTAATAGATACATCTACTTGAATATACAAAAAATACATTTTTTATATATACAGGGTGATTCATTAATAATGGGACAGAGCTTAAGGGCATGTTGCTGACCTCAAAATAGAGCGATTAAGCCAAATATGCCTTATTCGAATGTTGCTCCTTTTCGATCTACAGGGTGTTAAAGTTGAAAAAATATTTTCAATTTTTTTAAATATCTTGAGCATCTTTGAACGGATTGTCTTGAAAGTTTGTATACCTATGTTTTCTGAGGTGGTAATTATGGAAATGGTAACTATTTTGCAATCGATAAACTTAACCGTTTTCGAAATAAGAACGATTTACTATTTCTTACAAAATTATTTGTTTGAACGTACGCCTTTAAATAAGATGACTTAAATGAAGTAGGCCACTGTCAATGAAATGTCATGTATTATTTATGTCAATTCTAAGCAGCTTATAAATACTAGACAGTTTAGTTCTTCTTCGTTTGTGAATTTTTTCATTAAAATGTCGCGTCATAATTTGTTAATATTCGTTTGTTGAAATGAGAAACATGGTATGTGTGTATGCCCAAGAAAATTTTTGTGGCCGTCATGCAGCAACGAGGTAATTGGAGTTATATCCAAATAACAGACAACCTAACCACAAGCTTTTCAAGACGTTGTACAACATATTAGGAGAAACGGGATCATTTCGCCCTAAACGAGACGTTGGAAGGCCTAAAGTATTAGCGGCGGAGCAAGAAGAGGATGTTTTAGTGCGAATTGCCGAAAACACGCAAACAAGCACACGCCGAATTTCATCAGCTACTGGTGTAAGTCAGCCTTCCGTCTTCAGAATACTCCACAAAGAAAAATTGTATCCTTACCATTTTCGTCCGGTTCAACAGTTGATGCCACAAGATCCTCCTGGTAGATTTCGGTTCGCACAGTTTCTTCGTCGGCAACAAAATGCTGACCCTACATTTTATAATAAAATATTGTTTACGGACGAAGCTACATTTACCCGGCGCGGTGTATTTAATTGGAGAAATAGCCATTCCTGGGAACTGGAAAATCCTCACTTGCCACGAGAACAACATTTTCAGCATGAATTCTCAATAAATATTTGGTGTGGAATACTTTCCGATAACATTTTGGGACCATTTGTGTTACCCCGTCCACTTAATGGGGAAAATTATTTAAATTTTTTAACAAATGACTTGCCACTCGTTCTTGAAAATATCCCCTTAAATTTACGGCAAACCTTTTGGTTTATGCATGATGGTGCTCCCGCACATTACTCCCGACCAGTAAGAGAATATCTTGATATAAGTTTTCGAAACCGTTGGATTGGTCGCGGCAGCGAAGTGCCTTGGCCTGCGCGTAGCCCTGATTTAAATCCCCTAGATTTTTATTTCTGGGGTAACGTTAAATCTTTAGTTTATAAAGATGTTATACATACTCGAGAAGAGCTGTGGGCAAAAATACAAGAATCTGTTAACATTATCAGAGACCAACAAAGAAGTCTATTCAGTGTCAGACAAAATTTTAACGAGAGAATAAAAAAATGTATTGAAAACAATGGTCGCCACTTTGAGAATCTTTTGTAATTAGACTTAAGCATAATAAAATTTTCAGTTGTTACTGTGTTTGTCTTAATTCGTAATTAAGTCATCTTATTTAAAGGCGTACGTTCAAACAAATAATTTTGTAAAGAAATAGTAAATCGTTCTTATTTCGAAAACGGTTAAGTTTATCGATTTTTAACAGGTATATCTTTTTTATTTAGAATTGAACGTAGTTTAATAATTTCTTATTGGAAATTCAGATTTTTGAAGGACAAAAAAGTTTGACATATGTTTACTCCGACGGAACACTACAATTAGCGCATCCTAGATGTGATTGCAAAATAGTTACCATTTCCGTAATTACCACCTCAGAAAACATAGGTGTACAAACTTTCAAGACAATCCGTTCAAAGATGCTCAAGATATTAAAAAAAATCGAAAATATTTTTTCAACTTTAACACCCTGTAGATCGAAAAGGAGTAACATTCGGATAAGGCATATTTGGCTTAATCTCTCTATTTTCAGGTCAGCAAAATGCCCTTAAGCTCTGTCCCATTATTAATGAATCACCCTGTATTTAGCAGAGCTACATGTCGCATTATACTTTTTCCGAAGTAATAGCGGTGATAAATTATTTCAGACAATTCTTGGCAATATTCTTACTCTGTGAGGGCTGTATCCAGTTGAGAATAAATACTCCTTCTCTCCTTCTTATGTTTCTTCTTTTTTTTGAAGAACAATGGCTCACTGGGTAAAGCGAAAGGGACATCGACCTCGAACAGTATATTCCAACCTGTCGGCTGGACCTGGAGGAAAGCTTTCACAGCTGCCATTGAGATCTACAAAAAATAAGAACAAAATAAAAATAAATGTATATTATTTTCATCTAAAAAATATTAATGGGGTTGTAAAAAAACCACCAATATTTTATAGTAACGAAAATATAGTAAATAATATTTTAAATATTGATTGAAAATAAAGCATTTGGTGTAGAAACAAATTAATCATTTTTTTAAGTTGAGAAGATATTAAAAAAGCATTCTACATAATAACTACAAATTTCAATTATTAAAACATATAGACCGTGAGCTAGCGCACATGGGTGTGGCGTCACTGAAAAATGTCTGGCATTTTGAGGTCTGAAAAAGGTAAGTTAGTTAATGAAAATAAGGGTGGTTTTAAGGGCCAACCCGTGTTCGAAAATTTGGAAAATTAATTTCCTTTTACATAAAATAATTAGTTTATCACTCATCTTATAGTGTCTGACAGTTGATGCAAAAATAGACACTAATAAGTACTTAACAATTTTCAAATGCCAGACGGTTTTAAATAGCCGAAAGGGTGGTTCATAGGGGGAACGTGTAAGAAGAAAAAAAAATCAACGTTTACTTTTTTTCTGGCAATCGAAACAATGAAAATTTTTGTTATGAAAATGATAAAAAGAAATTACCAGACGGTTTCCAATGTTAGGAGTCGAGTTTCTCTGCGCAAAATTATGTGAAAATTTTTAACATTTTTCAGTAATCTTAATGTATAAAAAAGAGGGCCATTGTGTTTGCGGTATTATAAAATGTTATTTATTTTTCAATGCCAGACAAATTGGCCGATTCGGAAATTTATAAATAAATAAATAATTAATGACTTGCCTAGCCAAGAAAAGCTGGAAAATAGAAAAAAGCTCCGTAAATTTAAAAAATTCACATTTTAAATCATATTTGAATTAAGAAATACCCACCAAGTTGGAATGCGTCTCATGGAGATACGCTTGCGCAGCACAGTGATTTTACTGGATATAAGCCACTTGTACCCTTATGGGTTAGAAAATTTTGAAATAAGCACTTTTATTCATTTAAAATTCATGTTTTAAATAATATCTTCCTGCAATTTAATTTCTTAATTTAAAATTTGAATTTTTTAAATTTACGAAGGTTTTTCCTATTTTCCAGCTTTTCTTGGTAAGTCACTTCCGTTGACAGCATCAGATTCAGTAGGAAATTTTACGTCGGAAATAGTATCTTGAGTATGTTTCCCGAGTAATTACAGCTTATAATATAAAGGTAAAAAGTCGAAAAAAATGAGAAATTGTATTTTTTACAACTTTGTTTATTTATTTATATATTTTCGAACAGCCCAACTTGTCTGGCATTTTTAATTTGAGTTTGTAAATGTATTTTTTATTGAAAAACGAATTTCCAGACAAAAAAAGAAGTTTTCATTATTTTTTTTACAACTATTTAATTAATTTATTTTTTTTTTTAATTTTCGAACTACCCAGCTTGTCTGGCGTTTTAACCTGAAATATAAATATGTATTTTCAATAGAAATGCAAAATGCCAGACAAAAATAAATCCTTTAAATTAGAAAAAAAAAGAAAACCAAAAGTTTTCGTTAACTTTTTAATTCATTTATACATTTTCGAAAAGCTCAACTTGTCTGGCATTTATATATTGTGTTTATACGAGCATTCTAATTGAAATGGAAAATGCCAGACAAAAATAAATTATTAAAATTTTTATAAATTTTTTCACACGTTTTTTTATTTATTTATAAATTATCGAACCGGCCAATTTGTCTGGCATTGAAAAATAAATAACATTTTATAATATCGCAAACATAATGGCCCTCTTGTTTTGTACATTAAGATTACTGAAAAATGTTAAAAATGTTCACATAATTTTCCGCAGAGAAACTGGACTCCGAACATTGGAAACCGTTTGGCAATTTATTTTTATCATTTTCGTAACAAAAATTTTTATTCTTTCGATTGCTAGACAAAAAGTAAATGATGATTTTTTTTTTCTTCTTGCAAGTGCACCCCTACGAACCACCCTTTCGGCTATTTAAAACCGTCTGGCATTTGAAATTTGCTAGGTACTTATTAATATCTATTTTTGCATTAACTGTCAGACACTTTAAGATGAGTGAAAAACTAATTATTTTATGCAAAAGAAAATTGACTTTTCAAATTTTCGAACACGGGTCGGCCCTTAAAACCACCCTTATTTTCATTAAATAACTTACCTTTTTAGACCTCAAAATGCCAGACATTTTTTGATGACGCCACATCCATGTGCGCTAACTCACGGTCTAATATTATGTGCTTCCTTTTTATTTAATATTAATTACTCAAATATAAAATAATCGAAAAGACTTGATAATGCGTATAATTTTTTTCTAAATTTGGAATTGTCTTCCCCTTATGACAATTTTTCTAGTGCTTGTTATGATTCAAAAAAGATCTACCTTACATATTTATTTGAAAAAATCAAACAATAATGTAACATTATAAATAACTGATCTTGCCCATACCCTATTTCAATATTAATTTCTTCTTTTTTTATATTCCACGTATTTGTTCATAGTACCACTAATCTGTGGCGCCGTTTAAGTGCTTAACTTAACTTTCATCATTACTAGTAAAGTTGCTTATCAAAATTTTAAAATTATCGCTAAATTTCATAATTCATCTCATCAACTTTTGGTGCATCCCCCGCCATTAGGATCTAGTAATATTTTTTTAAGCTGGTATCTTAAAAAAAGTAATTAAACACGTTATTGTTTATCGGATTTAATAGAAATTAGCACCAATTAATACATGACATTATTTATAGTCATTGAGAGAAAATATAACAACACTTACCACTAAATTACTTCCCATCGGAAAAGCGACATATCTTTTCCGTCTCGAAAGTAAGATATTATTTCTGGAAACTTTAGTAAAATTTGCATCTATACAAAACACAAGACAACTGGTGACTAAGAATCTCAAAAATATAACCATTGTTTTTTTTTTTGTATTGTGTGGACTGACAGAGTTGATTCTGTGTGTTATCAGAATCGTTTGAATAGAAGAAAATAATATGGCGGCACCTAAATCCAATATTTATCTTAAAATTATCGCACTGTGGTCTAGAATAATAATTAATTTACAATGTAGTGCTTTAATTCTATGAATAAACATGATTCTCAAAATATTGTATGTTTTTGTAATTACTGACTTGAGTTTACGCACTTACAATTTTTGAATTATACAGAGTTATTCACGCAATTTGAATACCCAGGTTACCGGCCATGAACTTTTCAATGAAAATATTTCTAAAATTGTTGCACTTCCGCTTATACCGCAAGTTGCCTCCAAATTCGTTATTTTATTGGGAACACCCTGTATATTATTGCATGTTTGGATTCCACGTTAAATTTTAGGGCCACTTTGTATAAACTTATTCATATTTAAAATTAGCCGTTTTCAATATAATGCGATTTAAAAAACAAATACCTACAGCACTGCTGGCTTCAAAAGTATATGCCTCAGAAACAGTTCACGTGGAAATCTTTATTTTTGGGTCAATGAAAGTAGGAGTCATTGGGATCCTTACGATGTTTTCAAAATTAGCCAGCTACAAGGCCCTGAAAACTAATTGACAAACCCGAAGAAATTCAATCGTGTGCAAGACATTTTTTTAAATGGAACACCCTGTATACTTACTAAACAAATCTACGTCAGTACATGCAAGGGTTGCTATAGTTATTCTTGGTGGTTTCTGATTTATCACCACTTTTTTATTTAAAATGTAAAATGTTTCGTGTAAGAAACTCCTAGTTACCTATGAAAACAAAAGGTTATGCCCTATTAAAGCACCAAAAAAAGACTCACTGACGTTTCTGTGTTCCTAAAAATGGATGAAGTAAATAATTATTTGATGAGTGATATTTTAAACTTATTCTTTATTCATGGCGAATGTAACAAGGTACTAAACAGGACATGCCGCACATTTAATGAAAGATACCATTTATCAGCAATAACAAAAAAGAAATTTAGGAAGATTGAATCAAACTTTTTGCGTTTTGGGAAAGGTAACAGCAAGAAAAATGTTCCGAGTCCTGTAACAGCCGATGAAGGAAATGAAATTACGGTGTTGGGGGATATTTTCATTCTTATCCAAATATTTCGATACCAACAGCTTCTACCGATTTAGGAAGATCTTCACTGTTATTTTCATTTTTACAATTATTACATCATTAATATAATTTGTATTTCTTAGGTTTATCATATTCTTCGATTCAGAGAATCCTAAAAAAAAAACACAAAATGCATCGTTTCTCCTTCACAATTTTACAAGCTTTCCGCCCAGGATACGACAGGAGAAAAACGGAAGTTTGCAAATTTTACTCATAAAAATTCAAGAGAATCCACAGTTCTTATCAAAAATCATTTGAACGGATGAGTCTAAGTTTACCAGAGACGGTGTAATAAATCGAAGGAATATGCACAACTGGGCCCGTGAAATTCCACACTTTATAAAGGAAGCCCACCATCAGGGCTCTCTTGGTGTCAACGTATTTGCAATGATTATGGGCGACCAAGTTCATTACGAAATTTGTAATGAAAGCCTAAATATCTACAACTCCTGAGAGGGATTGTCACAAACTTCTTAGACAATCTCCGTTGAATGTGCTAAATAGTTGTTGGTATCAAATGGATGGAGTTCCAGCACATTCTACTCACGAAGTATATCAAGAAGTCACAGGAATGTTTGGTGAACGCTGGATTGGTCGTAACGGACTTTGGAGTTGGCCGTCTAGATCTCCTAATCTGACTCCTGTCGACTTTTTCCTGTGGGGATATACATAAAAAGCCAAGTTTACTCCCAACCTATTCTTACCATGGATGATCTCTTAAATAGAATTAGGGTTAGTTTCCAGAGGCTCCAAAATTATCACCATAGAAGTGCTACTGTTAACGAAGTGGAGAATAGAGTGCTAAAGTGCCTAGAACAAAATGGACGCCATATAGAACATTTAAACTTTTAATTCATACTGTCTTATTTGTTAACTTGTTTTTAGTCATTATAAGTAATTTTTCAATGGCAACATTCTTGCTGTTAACTTTCCCGAAACGCAAAAGTTTGATTCCTAAATTTATTTTTTGTCATTGCTTGTAAATGAGGATATCTTTCATTAAATGTTCGCCACGAATAAAGAATAAATTTAAAATATCACTATTCGAATAATTATTCACTTCATCGATTTTTAGAAACACAGAAACGTCAGTGCGTCTTTTTTTGATACTTTGACAGGGCATAACCTTTTGTTTTCAAAGGTAACTATGAGTTTCTTATACGAAAGTGTGATGATAAATCAGAAACCATCAAGAATAACTTAGCAACCTTTGTATGTACCGACATAGATTTTTCTAGTAAATCCAAAAATGCGAAATTATACATGATGTTAAATTTAAAAAAATGACAACACACATTTCAATTTCCTCAGGTTTGTCAATTAGTTTTCAGGGTCCTGTATAAAACTGGCTAATTTTGAAAACATCGTAAAGAACCTCATGACTTCTACTTTCATTGACCCAAAAATAAAGAATTCCGCGTGAACTGTTTCTGATTAATATACCTTTAAAGTGAACAGTCTGCATGCAATTTTTTTTAAATCGCATTATCTTGAAAACGGGTAATTTTAAATATGGAAAAGCTTATACAAAGTAATCCTAAAATTTAACGTAGAATCCAAAAATGCAATAATATACAGAGTGTTTTAATTAAAATAACAAAGTGCAACAGTTTTGAAAATGTTTTCATTGCAAAGCTCATCAGAATCCTATCATGGTAACTTCGTATCCTTCTAATGAACCAGTTGCGTGAGTAACCCTGTATCTTCGTCATTCTACTGTTGTCTTTTACCTATACTATTACATAATTAGAAAAGCGGTCTTCAATTGTTTATTTTGATTAGTTTCCAATGAAAATACTATAGATTTTCATAAACATAGATGATAGATCCTAATATGCACATTTGCTTTTCGTTTTCTACTTTCGTATATAATAATTTTCCGTAACGATGTAGTACCATTAAAAAGCAATAATGGTATCAGATTTATTCTTTATAGCGTCCATTACATGCTCGTTACTTCGTATAAGGCTTAATAAAATACTGTATAAACTTAAGCATTTAACTCTAGAGGTAATATATTTTATATATCTTTAATATTAAGCTAATTCAAATTAATTCTAAAATTTTTCATAATTTCTCGTCAAATGTGTTATACCCTTTAACACCAAATAGCTGCACATAATTTAAGAAATTAATTCTCCTAGCTATAGCTAATCATTTTTAATAGAGTTTAGCAGGAAATTCAGTAATGTAATTGACACATTTCTGCATTTTAAGATGTTTTTTTTTCAAATAGCTAAGCATATTTTTTTTTTTTCAAATAGCTATGCATATGTATTTGAATAGTTTGTGGCAAATTATGTATATTAAAAAGAACACAACATTTTTAGGGAAAACGATCGAGGACAATTAATAAATTAACTTTTTTTTAAATATACTGATATTTTCATGTTTCCATCATCCAACCATCATTTTATTAATTAATATTTTATACAGCAATTTCTTTTCCAGTGATTGTTATCTTTCTTCTCCCCTGATGATGGCGTAACCGAAACTAATAAGAAAGAAAATAAAACTATTTTGCAAATATAATCTTATTTATCGTTGTTCTTACATTTTTAGAATTTAAAACACAAATTTTAACAACAAAATACATAAAACAATACCATACAATTGCAGAAAAACTAAACTTATGTATCAGCTTATGGTCTATTGTGATTTATTTATGTAATTCCTCAGGGACAAGAAGCTGATGCTCCTTATTTATCTGTACGGATGTGTGATGATTTGGCAAAGAACCGGTATTTATCTTTTTACCCTTCTTTTAAAACGTCATCGCATTCCAATTTCATAATTCTGTAATAGCAATTTTATGGTTTTATTTCATTTCAGCTTGTATTACAGCTCTCAAGATGAAGGATGTTTCTTTTATGTAGACTGATGAGCACAAGCGAGCCAAACAATATGTTGTATCTTGTCTCACGTCTGAACCTTTACTTGTTGTTTTTAATCCTGATTTGCCGACAGAATTACATACGGACGCCAGTTCAGTTGGTTACGGTGGCATACTCATGCAAAAACATGACAGACAAAATAAAGTCGTAGCATATTATAGTAAACGAACTACATCGGTTGAAGCCAAATACCACTCCTACGAGCTCGAGACTGGCAATAATCAATTCATTAAAATACTTTCGATTTTATTTACTTGGTATCAGATTCAAAATAGTTACTGATTGTAATTCTATTAAGACAACGGCGCAGAAAAATGAAATTATTCCGCGTATCGCGAGATGGTGGACCTATCTACAAGATTTTGACTTCGAAATTGTTTATCGTAAAGGTTCATCGTTGAGCCACGTAGATTTTCTGAGCCGGAATCCGATATCTACGAGTATATTACGGGTTACTAAACATGATTAATGGCTACACATCGAACAAAAAAGTAATGCAGAGGTGCAAAGAATGCTCACTTCACTACGCGGAGGACAACTTGATCCGAATCAATACGTGGAAAAAAATGGGTTGTTGTGTTACCAAACTTTATTACCCGATAAAACCAAAATAATTCATTTCTTTGTCCCCCGTCATGGTAGATTGGGATTATTACGCTTATTTCATGATGACCAATGTCACATAGAAGTTGATAAGACCATTGGATCAATCCAAGAACATTTTTGGTTTCCTCGACTTCGGTCCTTTGTAAAAAATTATGTTAAGCATTGCTTAGTATGTGCCGTAAAGAAATCTCGGACAGGCCCTTTACAAGGTTTTATAAAATACCCACAAAAACCAACCGAACCATTGCAAACAATTCATATAGATTGTTTAGGGCCATTACCTGCTACTAATGAGTATAAATATGTGTTTAACATTAAAATC